TACTGGCAGAAGACAAAAGACTCTTGAGTCAGAGACAAAGGACTTTATTATTCATGGCACAGCAAGCAGCATGAGCATCGGTTCCCTTTGCCCTTAAGTCCCATGGGAGTGATGCCTTGGGCCCAGATGGATGCTGCACATGCAGTGTGTTTGTGTCGTAGCTGAGGAACACTGAGCTTGGAAAGCCTGCCACTTAATAGCAAGCAGTAAGCAAGCCTACTTCTTGTCTCTGAGGGAGACTTTATCTTATTCCTCAAGGTTGCTCACTGCAAACACAAGCTTGAGAAGCGGCCTGGGTAAAAAACAGTCAGGACCTTGCATTCTTGGCAGACCCAGAAAGATGTGTAGGAGCACTAGAGATGCATGGAGGGTTGAATCTCATAACAGGTGGTTGGGAGAATTAAATGAGATGTTGCACAGTGAGGAGCCCTGGTGGCTCAGTGGCTAAGCACTCAGCTGCTAACCGAAAGATTGATGGTTAAACCCACCAGCAGCTCCACGGGAGAAAGATGTGGCATTCTGCTTCTGTAAAGATTACAGCCTTGGAAACCCTGTGGGGCAGTTCTACTCTGTCCTGTAGGGTTGCTGTGAGTTGGAATTGACTCCACGGCAATGGATTTGGTTTTGAGTTGGGTTGCACAGTGTTACTCCTTGTAATGTCTGAGGGGCTATGGAAAGGCAGGCACAACAACGGCATGGTAAGTTAGCACAGTCTTTCTGCCTGGTTTTCAGTGTTCAGACAAGACTGAAGATCCTGGGGTTGTTAGAGAGCTGGGAATACTAAAAGGGAGGAAAAGAATAACCTTCAGTTGCTTATATGTAGCTCTTGCCTTCTTGTACACATCTCACACCCAGTACATACCTGGGGGGTATACTCCACTAGCTATTGGTAAATTATTTATAATTATCTTTGTTTATACCCAAATGAAGTCTAATTTCTTAAGCTTAATAATTGTGCTTGGCTTAATTTGAAATAAGTATAGGGAGTTTTTCTTAAGAAATAGGGTATTGCTTGTTTATACCTGTATCAAGTAAAGTACTTGATGATTAGTTCCAAACTAATGAAATTTTGAAACATCATATCATATTTATACATCTACATGATGTATAAAAGAATTACAGAAATGTAGAGTGAAAGGACATTTAAAGATTAGCTCAACTTTCATTTTTATAGAAGAGGATACCGTGGCCAGAGAAGTGATGAAGTTTGCTAAAGAGTTGTTACAGCTGGTAAGTGATGGACATGATACTGGGCCTTAGCCCATGGCCCTGTCCAAAAAAGTTTCAACTCATTAGGTAAATAGAGAGTGAGTCAAAAGGAATCTATCCACACACTACTTTTGGGTGCATATCAGGCCAGGACTCATCTGCCCTCATTCAAGAATGGACAAATAGAAAAACTAAACCCTAGAGAGAACCACTGAAAAGATTCAGCAGTATAAAGGGAGATAAACATGGAATGCAAGAAACTGATGAAGAGCATGCTTTTGGAAAAAAGTTCACCTCGATAAACTGAAGTGAATTTCAAACATTGTCTGCTTTGTTCTCTCAGATAAGTTATAGATACTATGAAAGATGAGATAATGAGACAACAGAGTGAGATGAAAAAAAGCTTGCAGACTTAAAGAACATAAGGAAATGAATAATATAACAGCAGCATTTAAAGTTAATGGCAATGCAGAAAGCCAGGGAGTGAGGAAGAGGACAAACTGGCCAATCTCAGAAGGTGCAGGAAAATAGCAGAGATGATACCAGATTGAATGATGTCTGTTATGCATTGAATTGGGTCCCCCCAAAATACATGTTGAACGAATAGATACATGCACACCCATGTTCATTGCAGCACTGTTCACAATAGCAAAAAGATGGAAACAACCTAGGTGCCCATCCATGGACGAATGGATAAAGAAATTGTGGTATAACCACACAATGGAATACTATGCAATGATAAAGAACAATTATGAAGCCGTGAAACATAACATGGAGGAATCTGGAGGGCATTATGCTGAGTGAATTTAGTCAGTCACAGAAGGACAAATATTGTATAAGATCACTATTATAAGAACTCAAGAAAAGGTTTAAACACAGAAGACAACATTCTTTGATGGTTATGAGGGTGGGGA